AAGGATCCCTCCTCCTCCTCCTTTTCCTCCTCCTTGAGGGGGAGGGTGGATGAGAGGGGAGGAGGGGCGGAGATAAAAGAGAAATGGAGGAGAGAGAAAAGGAGAATGGGGGAGCGGGAGGGGATGAAGGAGGGAGGGAACAGAGAAAAAGAGAGAGAGAGAGGGATGCCTCGTGTGTTCTGAGCGTGGCCACCCGCGTCCAAAGAGCGAGTAAGTTCGGTGTTTCCGAGAGCTCTGATCTCTCCTGGCTGTCCAGGCGCTGCCGACCGGGAGGAGGCCCAGCTGAGACACCACAGCGGCCATCCCGAACGAGGGGGGACAGGAGGAGGAGAAAAGGAGGAGAAAAGGATGAGGAAGAGGGAAGATGGGGGAGAGGAGGGCCGCCGACAGTCTAAACTCGCCCTCCCCCGAAAGGAGGCGACGACGACGGCGACGACGACGACGACGCAACGACGACGCAACGACGACGACGACGACTCAACGACGACGACAACGACGACGACGCAACGATGACGACGACGACGACGACTTTCGACGACGACGACGACGACGACGACGACGACGACGACGACGACGACGGCGCACGGCGGCGACTCTCAGGACGGCCCGCCTCTGCCGCGCCCTGCTGCTGCCAGCTCGGCCGCGAGAGCAGCGGGGACGCGCAGCGGTGCTGCTGCACCTTGCCGGGAGGGCGTCCTCCTCGTCCCTCGGCGAGATCCCTGCCCTTGTCGGGGGAAGTTCTTCTTTTCTGCACCTCCTTGACGTCCTGGTGCCGCGGCGGGCAGTGGATATGGATATATGTTGGCCCCTGTGGGCCCGAATATGTCCATATCCACCACCTGCCGAGGTCCCCAAACATTGATCCTCCAGGCGGTGGTTATGTATAAATTCCGGATTCTTTTCGGGGGAAAAACGGCAAACGCGTTCCACTGTTCGCAGACAACAACTACTCGCAAGTGGCCCAAATCCGGTCCCCTACCCATCGGTCGGAAGAAGTAGGTAAAAACATGGAAGAAGAAGGCGTTGAAAATAGATTGGGTTCCGTCCGCCCCCTGCGGAGGACGGAAAAGGTGAAGCCACTCGATCAATGAAGTAGGAAGGGGCTTAAAGTATATTGGAGTCTGGGAATCCAAAAATACATACTTTCAACGACTGCTGGGTACAGTGGAGGCCAGTCCACAAGAAACCTTTCACCAGAAACTAAATCCTGATACCTCAGGACGTCCATCGATTTTTCGTGCGGGAACGTCGCGCCGTCCATCGCAATACCATCGGAACCCAAAGAATCCCAGGGCATCCTGGAGGCAAGCAGGGTTAGGGGAACAAAAAGTGACATAAACATAAAAACTCGGAGGTCCGCGCGGACTTCTCGGATTCGCGCTGGACCCCCCTCCCTGGCGCGCGGAGCGCGCCAGGGGCGGCGGCGGAGGCGCCCCCAGGGGGGTCCGGCACGGATCCGAGAAATCCGCGCGGACCTCCGAGTTTTTACGTTTATGTCATTGTTCGTTCCCCCAGTTCCTTGGTCTGGGCCCCCACTGCACAGGAGGGAAGGCGTGCACTTGTCGGGCGCTCTGCGGGCGAGTGGGCGCTCTGCGTCGGGGACTTGAGCGCGTGCGCGTGGGCGCTGCACTTTTCGGGCGGGAAGGAGTGCACTTTTCGGGCGCGTGTGCGTGGACGAGCACAGGAGGGAAGGCGTGCACTTTTCGGGCGCTTGCGGGCGAGTGGGCGCTCTGCGTCGGGGACTGGAGCGGGCACGCTGCAGGGAGGCCGCCCGCCGCCCGCCGTGCACCGCGCCCGTCCTGCGAGCGCGGCCGGCAGCCGGGCCCCGGGAGGAGGAGGCGGAGGAGGAGGACAAAGGAGGAGGAGCGCCCGTACCACGGGGGGAGGAGGAGGAGGAGGAGGAGGAGGAGGAGGAGGAGGAGGAGGAGGAGGAGGAGGAGGAGGAGGAAGAGAAGGGGGAGGAGACAGGCAGGAGAAAAAAGACATGGGGCGAGCCCTCCTCCTCCAAGTGACCAGGACCCGTGCCGGGTTGGGATCCGCTTTAGAGCCCCGTTCGGACCCAACCCGTTTCGGACACAACCCGTTCCGGATCTCAACTGTGTCGGACCTGACTGGGATCGGACACTGGCATCCCGCTGAGATGAAAGCCTCCGGGTCGAGACCGCAGCCAGAGCCCTGCCTTTCTCAAATCCTGGCCTAAACATCGACACCCGTAAATGATCCAGAAGGGGTCCCGTTCGCACCCCTGCTGGTTTACTTGGATGGGCATGTGCATGTATACGATACATATGTGTATGTGTGTGACGTGCATGGGTGTGCATGCATGTATGTACCTTCTTAGGGTGGAACAGATGCGTAGCGTGTCGCGGCGACGGCCACTACGACTCGATAGCTATACCCTGCAAGCTGACAGCGTGTCGCTCTGCCTCGAACGGGAGGCTGGGAAATGCTCGAACCGCGGCTGCTTGGGGACTGGGATGTGCTCAGCGCCCCCCGCCCCCTGAGCATAGCTTAGCTGATCCCCATCCCCACTGGCATGGCCCCTCCTCTTCCCCATCCTCCTCCTCCTCCTCCTCCCCCTCCTCCTCCTCCTTCTCCTCCTCCCTCACCCTCCTCCTCCTCCTCCTCCCTCCTCCCCCTCCTCCTCGTCCTCCTCCTCCTCCTCCTCCTCCTCTTCTTCTTCTTCTTCTTCTTCTCCTTCTTCTTCTTCCTCCTCCTCCTCTTCCTCCTCCTCCCATTCCCGGCCCCACTGGCCGACTCGGCCCACTCTGGGTGGAGATGTGTGGGACGCGTAAGGACATGCCAGTACGGTGGGCCTCTGTCGAAGCCCTACGCCCGACCCGAGCACACACATAGCACAACATCTTGTGTCACGTGGCTTCCTGAGCGGCAGGGCCGGAAGGATCCCACCACGAGCTTTTACCTTTACAGTGGAGGCCAGTCCACACGAATAGGGGAGCGAACAACGACATAAACATAACAACTCAGAGGTCCGCGCGGACTTCTCGAATCGGCGCTGGACCCCCCCGCCCCCTGGCGCGCTGCGCGCGCCAGGGGCGGCGCCCGAGGCGCCGCCAGGGGGCTCCAGCGCCGATCCGAGAAATCCGCGCGGACCTCAGAGGTTGTATGTTTATGTCGTTGTTCGTTCCCCTAAAGAAACATTCCACAAAAAATCAAACCCTGAGACCCCAGGACGTCCATCGACTTCTGGTGTGGGAACGTCACGCCTTCCACAGCAGAACTCTCGAAGCCCAAAACACCCAGGGCACCTTGGAGGCAAGCAGGGTGTTTCCTGGCATGGCCTGCACTGTAGATCTCCGAACGCGCGCGTCGCCCTGTTGTGGCCGACGCGCATCTAATATCAGTATGTTTGGGCGGTGCCGGACACAGGCTGTTCCGCGCGGGTTTCGCCGGAAAGATCCCCACCTGCGGGAATGGGCTGGTGGGGGCGAGATGCCGCCGCCCAGTGGGGAGCGGAGCGGAGCGGAGCGCGCCGAGTCCGCCGGACGGCTGGCCAGCGGGCCGGGCCGGGGCCCGTTGACCGCAGGCGCTGGAGGAAAGCGTGCTTCCCGCCTGTCCCACGGCACCCAATCGCAGGCACACGCCCCCCGTGCCCCAATTCTCGGGAGCGGCCAAGAGGGGGGTGTCCCAGAGGGGGGGGTGCAAATCATGACCGGCGGCATGTGCGCGGCCCAGCGGGGGGGCCAGGAACGTAATGAAACAAGAAGAGGCGCCATGAAATCTGGGGAAATATCATGGCCGACGCCATGATATCTACCCCCCCTAGTCATCACCCCCCTCTTTTCCGCCCCCGAAAGTCGTCTGCCACTGCGCCCCAGTGCTCTCGGACCGCTTCTGGGAGACAGGTCGCCGCCGACCGAGAGCGGTTGGCGGCCACCCGGGTGGGGGGGGGGCGCGGGGGGGGCGGCCTTATATGAGAAAGTGGAGGGCCTCCTCGGGGGCAGGAGGGGGAGGGGGAGGAGGAGGAGGAGGGAGGAGGAGGAGGAGGAGGAGGAGGAGGAGGAGGAGGAGGAGGGGAGGAGGAGGAGGAGGAGGAGGGGGAGCAGGAGGAGGAGGAGGAGGAGGAGCAGGAGGAGGAGGAGGAGGGTTCGGGGAACAAGTCATGACAAACATAAAAATCAACTTTCGGAGATCCGCGCGGATTGCTCGCATCGACGCAGGAGTCCCCTGGCGGTAAGAAGGCCGCCCACATCGGGTGCCGTCGAATTGGGGTATCTCCACAAACGGCAACTTGTTTGGCATGAGCGAAGCGGGTCTTGGGGGAAGCAGGTCCTGGGACCCAGGTAGGCCTCCCCAGGACCAGACTTTGACCCTGAGCAATTCTGTGCACCGACCTGGACCCATCTCCCTCCGGAGCCGTTTCCTTCATGGCGATTTGCATACGCTCTGACATTGTCAATCTGCAACCGGTCAAACGATGCTTGGGGGATACCACTTACCCATACCGCTACTCCCCGGACCTTTCCCCGGGGCGCGTTCTGACCAGAATCGGGAGCCGGGTCCAGCCGTAGAAACGGGGGCCTCCCAGGAGGCCCCAAGAAGGGAAAACGAGGGAAGGGTACCGGCATCGGTACAGTCGGACCTCGGCCAGAAGAACATCCCTCTAGAACATGAGGACCCTCCGCCGGGCAACACACGCAGAACATCCAAAGGTACCCTCCCCAGGATGCACGAGAACATCCCACAAGCACGAAGACATGAGGGTACCCTCCCCGGCCTCGGTTTAGGTCGGGCATCTCCCCCTACAGGCGGACTATGGAAGGGAAAGCTGAAGATGGGCCAAACATGCTCCAAAATGGCCAAAAAGAGTCGAACAATCCTCCCCAGACTACATTTGGACTACTTCTAAATATCCCCCCATGTAGAGGGACAGGCCCGACTGATTCCTCGGTCCGACCGAGCCTCTTCCTCCTCCGAACACTGCCGTCTTGCAGCCGGTCCGGCGACGCTGACCCCTGAGGCGGCGGGCGGCCCCCCGCCTCCTGCGCGCCCGAGGCCAAGCGGCACCGCACCGGGGTGGTGCAGCGCGTCCGGCGCACGACCACCGGGGAGGCGCACCGCTGCTGCGCCGCGTGCCTCTCGCGGGCTTCGCCCCCCCTCGCCCCTCCTCGCTCCCCCTCGCTCCTCCTCGCTCCTCCTCGCTCCTCCTCGCTCCTCCTCCTGCTCCTGCTCCTGCTCTGCTCCTCCTCCTCCTCCTCCTGCTCCTCCTCCTCCTCCTGCTCCTGCTCCTCCTCCTCCTCCTCCTGCTCCTCCTCCTCCTCCTCCTTCTGCTGCTCCTCCTCCTCATCCTCCTCCTCCGCCTCCTGCTCATGCTCCCGCTGCTCCTGCTGCTCCTGCTCCTCCTCCTCCTCCTCCTCCTCCACCTCCTCCTCCTTCTCCCTCTCCTCCTCCCTCTCCCTCTCCTCCTACCTCTCCCTCTCCCTCTCCCTCTCCCTTTCCGTCTCCTCCTCCTCCTCCTCCTCCTCCTGCTCCTCCCCCCTCTCCTCCTCCTCCGCCGAGCTCTCCGAGTCGATCGTCGCCGCCTGGGATCGACAGCTCAGATCCTCCCCCGACCTCCTCGCACATGGGACGTCGCCCGCCCTCCGCCGAGCTCCTCCCACGGATCGCGCCTGGGCACACCTTCTCCGATGGTTGCTTGCCCCCCTTCGGCACGGCGCACCCCAGGGCGGACCGGGGGGCTGCTTCTATAGGCGCGCGCCTCGAGAGCGAACGCCCTCCCCGGAGGTGGCGACTCGCTCAGCTGAAGCGGCGGCGCGCGCAGGCAGAGGCCTGGCGGGGCGAGGGGGGCGGCCCGGCGATGCCTCGGAGGTCCGCGTGGATTTCGGGGGTTCGGGGATGGACAGACCCCCCTTTAGCAAAACGTGGTCTAGTGAAGGCGACCTGAGGCCCAAACCTGGCGGGCGCAAGCCTGGAAAAGAGCGGCCACGGCGCCCTCTCGAGAGCCGAAAACGGACAGTTCACTGATCGACGTGTCACTGTTGGGGGTTCTGTCCACCCACGATGGGTATCAGCTGGGCCTCCCTGGCGGCGCCGCAGGCGCCGCGCGAGTATGGCGCGCTCCGCGCGCCGAGGGGGGAGGGGAGTCCCTGGCCGACCCAAGAACAATCTGCGCGGCCGTCCGAAAGTGTGGTGTGCTCGTGTAGTTTGTTGTGTTTCTTCTTTGCCGATGCCCTCCTGGCAAAAGAGAGAGAGGGAGGAGGCAGGGAAGCAGGGACGAGGAGACGTCAGGAGGGACTGGCTCGGGGGGGGAGACATCGACCTATCTATCGGCGATAGATCGCCGATAGATCGTCGATAGGCCCATGAAGCGAATCAGGATCCTTCCGGGATTTGTTGGGCGATCAGGCCCATATCCGTAATTAATGGACGGGTGGGGATCGGTGCATCCTACCCCCTGAGCCTATCCCACCCTAGCGTTGCCCTGAAGGTAGGGGAGAGAGAATGGGCAAGGGAGCTCGTGGCTGCTTCGTGGCATCACTGGGGCAGCAGTGGCCCACGCGTCTCGTCTGCCGCCCAGCCTGCCTAGAGTCCGAGGATAGTCTCAAGATGAGGCTCTGAGGTGCCTCGGAGCTTCTCTGGATCGGCTCAATATGAGAGCACTTCTTCACTCGCGGCGATAACGGGCGTTATGAGCTGCGGAGGGGGAAGGGCACAGCGTAACGCCCCGGCCCCCCCCACCGTGACAGACTGGTGCCAGAGGCGCTGCGGCAGTGCCGGGGACGCACTGGAGGGAGGAGGGGGGGGGACGTTATGTGAGGCGGGGAGGGGGGGGCGGAAGAGGGCGGCATGACGCGCGTGATGGCCCGGAGGGTCATCAAACACACTCTCTATTTCCCACAACGGCACAAATCTCTGCGCGGCATCTGGGCGACGGCAGTCGGCCAGTCAAGCGCGACCTGGCAACGGAGCGCTCCGCAGGCGAACGGCGAACGCCGCTCGTCGCCAGTGTGCAGGTCATCTGCACATGTCGTCTCATCCAGGCGCCACGGAGCAGCTCTGGATCGGCCTCATCGTGAAGCATCCAGAGCAGGAGCCCCAGCCTATCACCAGGGGCGAGTCAACTCGGCGGTCAAGAGGAATTCGATCCCTCTGGTGTTTATGCGCTGCCTGTATCGGCGTGCGCGGAGCACGATACCTATATGCATATATACGCACCTATATATATATATATGTATACACACGTATATGTAAATGTGTGTGTGCGTGTGTGTGTGTGTGTGCGTGTGTGTGTGTGTGTCACCGAGCGTGGATCCCTAACAGTGAGCTTCTAGCAATAGATGGTGTGCAACATGTGTGGAGCAATCTAGGTTGAGTAATATATGTGGTGCAATATCTGTTCTGCAACCGATGTTAACCCATATTGATGGTACAATCTAAACCTATGGTGCAATCTATGTGGTGCGCAACGTATGCGGTGCAATCGAAGTGGTGGAACATATGTGGTGCAGCCCATGTTGTGCCATCTATGCGGTACCATATATGCGGTGCAGCATCTGTGGTGCAATAGATGCGGTGCAACCGGTTGGTGCAACCTGTGTGGTGAAATCCCTGTGGTGCAGTATCTGCTGTGCAACACCTACTATGTGGTGCAGACGGAGTCGTGCCATATCTGCGGTGCAGCCTGCGTTGTGCACGTTAAGCGGCGACGAGGCGGGGCCGGCGACAGCATAGCCGCCAGACCGACGATCAGGCCCAGATCACGGGCGGTGACGAGGCGGCGACGGGGCGGCAACGGCGACAACATAGCCGCCAGACCGACGAGCAGGCCCAGACCACGGGCGGCGACGGGGCGGCGACGGCGCGGCGACGGAGCGGCCACGGCGACAACGTAGCCGCTGGGCCGACACTCCGGCCCCAGGTCCCGAGAAGGGACGCAAGCACCCCCGATTGCAAGCAGCGTCTGGGCAACAGATCGACAGATCGAGAAAGGGGGAGCCAGCATGGCCGAGGGAGGAGGGCGAGAAAGAATCATGTTCATGCGCGCAGCCTGCTTCGCGCGCGAACTCCTCGCTGCTCGCGCAGCGACACGAGCGGCCCTGGCCGAGCCTCGGGCCGCTCAGAATCCGACCCCCCGGCGCCTGGCCGCATTCTGCAGCATGGCCTGCTTCCCCACCGCCGGGACCGTAGCTCGCACCTGCACGAGGCAGCGAGGGAGGCAGCAACAAACGCAACGGCACACACACACACACACACACACACACACACACACACACACACACACACACAACTTGCCCATGTGCACGCCATCCCCGCGACGCAGCGCGCGGCAAAGACAACGAGCAGCATTCTCGTACCAGAACCAGACTCACAAGCAGAAAATTGGACGTGGATAGAGGAAACGGGTGCGATCCAGGTCGGGTGAAGAAACCAATTAGAGAAGCAAGATGCGTGTTGAGGCGTCCCCAGTAGCTCCCAGACCATCCCTCCTCCCTCAGTGCGTCCATTCCTCCTCCGCCTCCTCCTCCTCCTCCTCCTCCTCCTCCTCCTCCTCCCATGCCCATTGTAACGGCTCACAGCGCGGCGTCCGCCGCGCAGCCGGGACGAGGCTGCCACAATGCCGCAGCGGCGGCGGCGGCCACGGCGGCAGGACTGCCGGGCCAGCAGGCAGAGGGCAGCAAGCGGGCCCCTCTCCGGAGGAGGCTCGCGAGAAGGAAGGCGAGGGGGGGTCGCGCCCGTGGAAGCAGATTCCTGCCGGCCTCCTCCTCCTCCTCCTCCTCCACCTCCTCCTCCTCCTCCTCCTCCTCCTCCTCCTCCGGCGCCGAGGGCCCCTGGTGGTCGTTCCACCGAGCGGCCCCCGCAGCGCCCCGCGGCCCCGTGGGCCCCCGCAGTCCGCAGGGGCCCCCGGTGCGCACGAGACAGGTCGACAGTGCTGGCGCACGGGGCAGCCCTCTCACCCAGGGCCCGCTGCCGCGCGTGCGCCTGCGGGGCCGCCGCCAGGGGAGCCGTCCTGGGGGTCTGGCGCGCCCGGGGCTCGCAGCTGCGCCAGCCGCGCCGCCGCCAGGGGAGGCGACCTCGGCAGCACGTCGCTCCCCTCGCTGCTGCGGCAGCCGTTCCAGTCCAGGTCGGCGGCCTCCTCGTCACCTCCAAGGAGAGCTCATCACGGCCACGCTGCGGGATGAGGTCACCTGTTTCACTGGCCTCCCCTTCCCTGCTGCAGCCGTGAAGCGAGCGGGGAGGTTCTGCCAGGGGCCCCCCGACGGCCCACAGCGTGGCGCTCCCGCCGCGTCGGCCCAGAGGCAGCCCAGGCCGGAAAGCACCGCAGGTCCACGTCGTAGGCGCCCTCCGCTGGGACGCTGATGCGGCAGGCGGCGACCCCGACTGCCAGAGGCTCGAGGAGCACCTCGGGCCCGCGCCCTGACTCCTCGCAGGACAGCGCCCGGACTCTCCTCGGGCACGTGGCGACGCGTACGACCTGGGCAAACTAACCCAGGTCCGCGCTCTCACACAGGGACCCGCCGTGCTGAGCCTGGGCTTCCTCGTGGCGACGCTGGGGACTCGGGGCTCGAGGAGCACCCCGAGTCCGCGCTCTGACTTAGCAGCTGGAATGCCGAGCACGCCCGGGTCTGTGGGAAGAAGCCCCACGGCGGTGCTGACCGTTCCTCTCTCAGGCACGCCCTTTCGGTCTGGCGCACAATGGTTATACCGCCTCCTTGCCCGAGCTGCTGACCGTCGCCGTCAATGATGCCTCATCATGATAGTTAGCTTGGCTCCTCGCCGTCTCGCGGACCAAGGCAGTTGTTGTCCCATCGTGCATCTCATGGAACAAGTTTGAGGCCTCCAGCCTTGTTCGACGTGGTGGCTCGCCACATCCGACGCCCACGTGCTTGTTGAAATGTGGGAGGCTCAGAATACGCGTCGATATCACTTGAATGAGTCGACGGAGGGGGAGGAGAAGGAGGAGCAGGAGGAGGAGGAGGAGGAGGAGGAGGAGGAGGAGGAGGAGGAGGATGGCGATCAACTGCGGCATGGGTGACGGCCGATGGCGATCCTGCCGGGTCCACTCGCTCGCTCCCTGCAGCGCCGTCATGCCCTCGTACCCGTGGTGCCGCCCACCAGGGTTCGAATCCATGCCGATGCCGCGGCTGACGTAGGAGTCGAGCGGCAGGTCAAAGCGAGCGACCTCGCCCTCGAGGACACGACCCAGTCCGAGGTGAGGTGCTCCAGGTCGGGGAACCTCCAGCCAGAGTGCCGCGCCAAAGATGCTGCGATGAGTTCGCAGAGTCTGCTGGGGTGCTCTTTCACCGCGGTGGTGAGCCAGCTTCCCTGCTCATCAACCCCTTGCAGCCCTTCGTGGTAGTCGCTGGTGTGTCAGCAGCGCCCTGCATGGGATACACGCCGCACTTCCTGGCGTAGCGCAGGGAGGGCCACAGTCAGAAGAGTGGTAGATTTCCGTGCCCAGAGTTGGCGGCGATGGGGTGTTCGAAGCGTTTCACGGCGTTCGGCTGGCGTCGCGTCGGCGCCAGCTTTCCCTGCCCATGCGCCTCTGACGTGCACGGCGTCTTCTCTCTGCTCCACGCATACACTGGTGCATGTCCACCTTGTCGACACCCAGCTGCTGGCATATGTATCGGGCCTCGCATGCCTTCCGGCTGCTGGCCGTGTGATCCTCGGGTGGCTCGCGAGGGGGCTCTGTCAGCCCAGGCCCCTGATAGACCGCGCAGGCGTACATGAACTCCAACTGCGTGCGATACAGCCTGTTGCCAATCTGCACTCGATGTAGCTGGCGCTCTCCTCCCTCCTTGCCTCTTCCCCCCCTCCTCCCCCCTCCTTGCGTCCCCATCTCCTCCTCCTCCCTCCTCCCTCCTCCTCCTTCCTCCTCCCCCTCATTTGTCCTCCCTCTCTTCCCTTTTAGTTCTTTCTCCCCCTCGTGTTTCCCGAAGGGTTTCCACAGCGGCTGCGGGAACACATGGTTTGGTGGCCTGGCCGAGCCCTGGCCGCAACGTTCGGCCACATAGGCGTTTCCATAACATTCGACATCTCTCCTCCTGGAAGCAACGCAACGGTCCACGCCGTGGGGAGGCCACCGCAGGCTCTCGGGAGGGCCGGCAGAAGTACTTTCTGGCGCGGTCGTCTGCTGCAAGCTGTTCCGAGCCCCTGCACGCAAAGCATGTCAAGATTACCCAGGTTGATCCCAAGGGGTGGGACATGTACCCATCGCCAAGAGCATAAACTTTCGAACGTCCACGCGGATTTCTTGGATCGTCGATGGACCGACCCCCCTCCCTCACGCGCGGAGAGCCCCAGGGGCGGCGCCGGAGGCGCCGACAGGGAGATCCAACGCCGATCCAAGAGATCCGCGCGGACATCCGACAGATCCACCTGCGTGTGGCAAACCCCGCCATCTGGCCACCGCAGCACCGCAGCATGAAGGCGGGTGAATTAAAGACGCTCTTGGGAGCTTCCCTGGGGCCTCTTGAGGGCCGAGGGCCTCTTGGGAGCCTTTTAGGCCCGTTTGGGGAGCCTTTGGTGGTTTGCAGGCGGACCTTGTCTTGCTCCCCAGGGCCTCTTCGGCGTTTCTTGGAGCCTTCTGGGGCCGTCTTGGGGGCGCATGGGCTGTCTTGAGGCCAACTTGTGGCTCTCTGGAGGCCGTCTTAGACAGTATTGAGAACGCCTTGTGAGCCTTTTGGTCATCTTGGGGCGAGCTCGGCTGTCTTGAGGCGTTGTTGCGTTGTTTTGCTATGTTGGCTGCCTTGGAATATTGTTAGCGCGTTTGGCTTTGTTGTTTTGCTGGTGTTTCGGGTGTTTGGGCTGCTTCTTATTGTTCTTTGTTATTTTATGTAGTTCGTTTGTCCGCTCGAGGGGGGCACTCTTGGAAAAAAGCCTCTCCAAACAATAATTTGTGGCGGAACTTTGTTCCCAGAAAACACTACAGGAACCTTGCCAGACAGCAGAGGAGCATTCTAACAAAACGTCCCAACTCGCACAAGCAACGGTCGAGGATGTATATTTTTCATCGAGAGCGGGTATTAGGCATCGGAGATCGGCTTTGCCGCAACGAGCCGCGAGGGCCCGACTAGGTGGCACCGGAGCGTCACTTTGTCAAGAAGTGCAACAACATAGTCAACTGGTGCCTCAGTGTTGGTAACAATCGCGTCCGCTGAACAGGACAGGAGGAGGAGGAGGAGTACCACGCAAGTTAAAAAAGAAGTACCTGTGATGAGGAGGGGAGGAGGAGGAGGAAGAGGAGGAGGAGGAAAAGGAGGAATACCTGGAAGGAGGAGGGAGAGGCGGAGCAGGAAGGAACTCACCCCGAAAGCAAATGAGGAGGAGGAGGAGGAGGAGGAGGAGGCGACGTTGGCTCATCGAGAGCAGGAGGAACGATGAAACCACCAGGTAGATTTAGGCCAGGCATGTCCCCCTACAGGCGAATCTTGGAGGACAAATCAAACAAATACTCAACAATCATGCTGAACACACACACACACACACTCGAAAGTAGTACAAACATCGTCCCCATATTATTTGTGGACCATTTTTGAAATACTCCTCCCGTAGAGGGACACGCCCGACTTAACGGTAGACCAACCGTGGCGGCGGCCGCCGCCGCAGCAGCAGCGTTAAGTCGGGCGTGTCCCCCTACAGGGGGATTTTGGACGCAAAATAAAACATACAAAAATGCCCCCAAAATAATCAAACATTCATCAGAAAATCGTCCCCAGACTATCTTTTGACTATTTTTGCATCGTCCCCCTGTCTGGTGGCCATCGCTCGGACGTCCATTCCGTGTGTTTTTTGGAGGTTCGTGCGTGGTTTTTTTCACAGAATGATCCAGGATGCTCCTGAATACTCCCCGCCGGGAAAAAGTGCACACGTCCGAGCGATAAAGAGCTGTAGAGGGACGCGCCCGACTGGACAGCAGCGCCAGGCCGCCGCCGCAGCAGCAGCGTTAAGTCGGGCGTGTCCCCCTACTGGGGGATTTTGGACGAACAATAAAATACAAAAAAACAAAGAATCAAACACTCATCAAAAAATCATCCCCGGACTAGTTCTTGACAATTGTTGCATATCCCCCCTGTAGAGGGACGCGCCCGACTGGACAGCAGCGCCGGGCCGCCGCCCGCTGCGCGAAAAGCGCGCCTGGATCGGCGACGCGCACCGCCCCTCCGCGCACGCCACCCGCACGGCGGGCGGCCCCGCGGGCCCGGCGAGCTGCGGCGAGGCCGCGAGCCTGGCCGCGCGGCGGCCGCGCAGGGCAGGGTGGGGAGGGGGCAGGAGCAGGCAGGGGCCCTGGGACACACAAATACATACACACAAGTACAAAGGATCCCCCATATGGTCCCATATCTCCTGGTTTTCTGTCTTCCCCACAACCTCCCACTCTTTTCCCATATCTTCCTGGGAATCGACGACTCCTTGTGTCTGTGTGTGTTTTTGTCCCGTCCTGGAACCAGTCAGGCAGGAGTCGGGGCCCACCAAAGGGGGGGGACCCTGGGGGGGGCGGAGCCCGATCCGCTGGCGCATCCGCATCGGATTTCCGAAAGACGATGCCCCGCGCGCGCCCCGAGCGTCGACGCCACTCGGGCTCCGGCGGCGGCCGGAGACCTCGTTTTGCAGCGCTGTTCTGCGGTTCGAGGCGCCAACGGACCGAACTCTCCCCCCCCCCGTGGCACCCCCCCCGAACCCCCCCCCCCCCCCCGAAGGGGGGCAACTGCTGGGGGTCGTCGTCGGAAGGATCAGGGAGTGTTGAACCCCCGGATCCTTCCGACGAAGACCTCCTGGCAGTTGCCTCCTGTCGGACTGGTTCTGCCCCTCCCCTCGGGGAACGAAAAAATTGCATAAAGAAAAAAAACGCGGAGGTCCGCGCGGATATTTCTTGGATCCGCGCTGGATCCGCCACCCCCTGGCGCGCGGAGCGCGCCAGGGGCGGCACTGGAGGCGCCGCCAGAGGGGTCCTGCGCAGATCCGAGAAATCCGCGCGGACCTCCGAGTTTCTGGATGTTAATGCCATTTTCGCTCCCCGAGGGGCGGGGCAGAACCAGTCAAGATGGGAGGCAACTGCCGGGTGGTCTTCGTCGGAAGGGTCAGGGAGCATTGAACCCCCTTGGGGGGCTGCTGCGTCGGATCAGGCCGCGGATGCAGCGGGATCCACCGGGATCTGGCCGGGTCCAGCGGGATTAAAGGGGGATGGAACCGAAAGTCCGAAGCTGGCCGAGCCGGGAGCTGCCTCCGACAGTGGGCACCGAACCTCGGGAGGTCGGGCCAGCAAAGAAAGAGCTCTTGCCGGCTTTGCACGGGCTGCGGCCTCCCGGGGCACTTGCGCGGGCCCCCCGGGGGCAATCGAAGGCGGCCTGGGGGAGTCTGTCGGGGCCTCCGACCTCCAGCGCTTGGAAAAGGTCGGGCGTGTCCCCCCGAATTACAGGCGGAGCTTGGGCGGACAAAAAAAAAAACATACCCAAACAATGTTCAAGCATCGTCAAGAATTTACCAGCCTGGAACATATCCCTATCCCTATGCTGGGCACCTCCTCATCACGATGCCAATCTTAGGGACTCCCTTATTTTTTGAGGGCGAATCCCTAAGATTGTCATCGCCTTTTGGCGTGTCAAACTTAGGGGTAGGGATACGTTCGAGGCTGGTAATGAGTGGGAGGCCCACACCGGGGCGCCCGGCCTTCAAGGGGGCGCCTCCCGCAGTGGGAATTCGATCCTGGCGATGAGAACCCCCGGGAGGCGCCCCCGCCTCCTCCTCCTCCTCCTCCTCCTCCTCCTCCTCCTCCTCCTCCTCCTCCTCACACTCCTCCTCACACTCCTCCTCACACTCCACTCCTCACCTCCTCCCACCACTCCTCCTCCTCCTCCCCCCATCCTCCACCTCCTCTCCTCCTCCTCCTCCCCCTCCCCCTCCCCCTCCCCCCTCCCCCTCCCCCTCCCCCTCCTCTTAGGGACAGGGATGCGCTCGAGGCTGGTCAAGCATAGCCGAACACACAAAACACCGGGCCGCGGGCCGAGGGCACGGCGCCCCCCCCGCGGGCGGGCGCGCGAGGAGGACGGGGAGGACCGCGGGGCGGGCGAGAGGGAGGGCACCGGGTCCGCGCGGGCCGAGTGTGCACACAGACACAGTGGAGAGGAGGAGGAGGAGGAGGAGGAGGAGGAGGAGGAGGAGGAGGGAGGAGGAGGAGGAGGAGGAGGAGGAGGAGAGGAGGAGGAGGGAGAGGAGAGGAGAGGAGGAGGAGGAGGAGGAGGAGGAGGAGGAGGAGGAGGAGGAGGAGGAGAGGAGGAGGAGGGAGGAGGAGGAGGAGGAGGAGGAGGAGAGGGGAGGAGGAGGGAGGGAGGAGGAGGAGGAGGAGGAGGAGGAGGAGGAGGAGAGGGAGGAGGAGGAGGAGGAGGAGGAGGAGGAGGAGGAGGAGGAGGAGGAGGAGGAGGAGGAGGAGGAGGAGGAGGAGGAGGAGGAGGAGAGAGGAGGGAGGAGGAGGAGGAGGGAGGAGGGAGGAGGAGGAGGAGGAGGAGGAGGAGGAGGAGGAGGGAGGACGAGGAGGAGGAGGAGGAGGAGGAGGAGGGGGGGAGGAGGGAGGAGGGGAGGAGGGGAGGAGGGGGGGGGAGGAGGGAGGGAGGGAGGAGAGGAGGAGGAGAGGAGGAGGAGGAGGAGGAGGAGGAGGAGGAGGAGGAGGAGGAGGAGGAGGAGGAGGAGGAGGAGAGACGGAGGAGGAGACGGAGGAGGAGGAGGAGGAGGAGGAGGAGGAGGAGGAGGAGGAGGAGGAGGAGGAGGGAGAGGAATGGGAGGAGGAGGAGGCAGAGGAATGGGTGGACGTGTCCGCGTGGGCCGAGTGTACACACAAAAACAGGGGAGGCCAGTCCACAGGAGACCTTCCGCAAGAAGCCCAACCCTGAGACCCCACGGCGTCCCTCGGTTTGTGGTGTGGGAGCGTCGCGCCTTTCACAGCAAAACCGTCGAAGCCCGAGAGACCCAGGGCACCCTGGAGGCAAGCGGGGTGCCTCTTGGCATGGGTCTCCTCTGCAGTTTCTTCCGCTGGGGAGGGTTCGGAGGGGGCGGTCAAAGAATCCCAATGGCAACGATGACCCCCACGAGCAAGCGTGAACCCGACTCGTCAACCATCGCCCCGGGCGCGGCTGCACGAGTGCAAGCACTGTCTGGGGACAAGCACACGACCGTGTGAACCCTGCTTTGTCTGTGCTACAGTGGGCGTCTTTAGCCCGAATCTCCGTCGGCACGGACAAGGCCGAAGCCCTCTCTGCAAGAAGGCTCGGCTACCTGGGATACGCGACGAGTGCGGCACAGAGTGGGGAAGACAGGGGATCAAGGGAGTGCCTGCGCTAACTGGCTGCATGCGCCCTGAAACATTTTTCTCGTTGGGGCTCATGTACTCCCCACATGATTTTCGAGACGCGATGTCCTGGCACAGGTGATGTGCTGCATGCCTGTGCCTTTTTGTGAGGCATGGCCCCCGGGCCCTGGGCGCACCAGGAGGGGGGCGTACGAACCCCGGAAGCCTTTCTCGTTGGGCCTCATGTGCGTCTGCTCCCCAGACGATTCTCGAGGCACGACACTCCAGCGCAGATGGGGCACTGCATGCTCGTGCCCTTTTTGGAGCGGCGTGGCCCCCGGGCCCTGGGTGCTCTGGGAGGGGAGGGGGAGGGGGGGGAGGGGGCGCAGGAGGGTGCTGGGCCGGCCGCGATGGAGGTGGAGGGCTGCAAGAGGAGAGGGGGTAAGGGGGAGGTGTCCAAGAGGGGGGCTCGCAAACCATGGCCCGAGGCACGTGCGCGGCCCAGGGGGAGCCAGTGGGCGTTTTGAAATATGAAAGGAGGCGCCACGAAATGTGGCGAGACGTCGTGGCCCTGGCCGTGATATCCCCCCCCCCACCCCTCCTCCTCCTCCTCCTCCTCCTCCTCCTCCTCCTCCTCCTCCTCCTCCACCCTCTGTGTCATCACCCCCCCTTGGCCGCCCCCGAGATCGCAGAAAGGCACAGGCCCCGCGTCACACCGGGAATGCGCCGCGCAACGAAAGTCTATGCACAGACAACCTCCGACGAACTCTTTGGGTGACCCAAAAGGGGGTCCAGCTGCAAGGGGGTGGAGCCATAGATTTGGTGCAATTGTATCGCAAATGTATTGCGCCAGAGGACTGTTTTGCATTGTATTGCAACGAATGTACTGCACGCGAAAATCCAGCAATACATTTGCGTCCCGGAATGTCTTGCACGCCCCATATGCATTGCAACCTCACAAATCTATTGCACCAAATCTATTGCACCACCCCCTTGTCGCTGGACCCCCTTTGCGGTCACCCCGAAACTTTGCATGTACCTTCAGGGAGGGCGGCGATGTATACAGCCACTGGCTCCCATAGGTGACTTTTGTACTCCGCCCCCACCCCCCCCCCGAGGCCCAGGAGCAGTCTATTGGAGGGCGTGTACGTATGTATCCTGGTGGCGGATGTCTGACAGAAATAAACGGGGGGAAGGCAAACAGAGGGGGGGCTGGGCCCTCGAGTCGTGCCACAGTGTACCGCTGTGTTTTTCTGCTGGCGGGGAGGAGGGAGGAGGAGAGGAGGAAGGCCGAAAGAGGAGGGAGGGAGGAGCAATGTGCGGGAGCTTGGGTGACCCAAAAGGGGGTCCAGCTGCAAGGGGGTGGTGCTATAGGCTTGGGGTAATTGGATCGCAAATGGATTGCGCCTGAGAACTGTACTGCATTGTACTGCACGCGAACATCCAGCAATACATTTGCGTCCCGGAATGTCTTGCACGCCCCAGGTGTAGTGCAGCCGCACCAATCGATTGCACCAAATCCATTGCACCACCCCCTTTTGTCCCTGGGCCGAGCGATCCCCGCACGACCTCCCGCGCCTGCACTGCAGCACCCCCCCGTCCTGGGTTCCCCGCCGCCGGGGCTGCGGCGGCCCAGAAGGGCGCTCGGGGGCGCGGGCGCGCCCGCGCCTGGACGGCGTCGTGGGCGCCGCCACCTGGGTCACCTGCGCCCGGGGGCCCCGCAGGGGGGGGGCCAGTCCACAAGAAACCTTCCACAAGAAAGCCAACCCTGAGACCCCATGACGTCGATCGCTCTTTGGTGGGAACGTCGCGCCTTCCACAGCAAAGCCGTCGAAACCCGAGAAACCCAGGGCACCCTGGAGGCAAGCGGGGTGCTTCTTGGCATGGGCCTCCACTGTAAGACGGAGTTCTGAGGTCCACGCGGATGTTGCCTCGCAAGTGGCTCGGTGCTGCCACAGGCACCGCTGGGCCACGGTGTTCCCATGATTCCCTGGGAGGCCGAGATGGCCTCCACAGCACCCCTCGCCTCGGGAGGCTCAGAGGACCCCAGAGGCTCCCGAACAGTCGCGGGCACCTTCCTGGACAAGGGAAACCTGTGCAGAGGAACAGAATTCGGCACAACTTTGGCTTCTCGGAGGCCCACACTGACTTCTTGGACCCGCGCTGAGCCCGCCTCCCTGGCGCGCGAAGCGCTTCAGGGGGGCCCTGGCGCCGACCCGAGAAATCCACACAGAGCCCCGAAAACAGATGCTTACGTCATCAGCGATGCCCCCATTCCGTGGGTCAAGGACCCCTCTGGCAGCATCCGAAAAGAGGCCACAACCGTACCAATTCCATACTCCATACATTCAAAGACGAAGCCAAGACGAGGAATAACATCGGGTTGTAAAGATAAAGACGAGAATCTCTGAGACCCAACTGCTTTGGAAGACGTCTCGGGCGCCGCGGTCTTCTCAGCGCGTCCCCGAACGGTCTGAGAGCGTGTCGGGAAGCTCTGGAACTGGGTATGTAGATTAACGACCAAATAGTCGAACCTACAGAGTAACCCATAGGTAAAAGTGGGAAAGGAAGAGGGTAGCTAGTCCTTTTCCAGGGCGCTGCGATGAAGGCGGCCCAGTATGTTGCACCAATACCTGAGCCGATACGTTAGCGGTATGTAGTGAGATAATAGTGATAGGAGCGGACTTCGCACACAGGAACTGACTCATCCTCGTCCTAGCCCCGTCCGGAATGGGGGACGGGAGGGAGGGCTCTCTCTTATGTTTGAATCTTCCTCGTGTAAAGAGGAGGACGGATAAGGAGGAGGAGAAGGAGGAGGAGGAGGAGGAGGAGGGGGAGGAGGAGGAGGAGGAGGAGGAGGAGGAGGAGGAGGACGAGGAGGGGGAGGAGGAGGAGGAGGAGGAGGAGGAGGAGGAGGAGGAGGAGGGGAGGGCTTTTGGTATATCCGTTCCCTGGGAGCCTCCGTGGCCCCCAGCGCCGTCCGACTTGGGCCTGGTTCGGCTCGGACTTGGACCCCGTGTGGGACCCGATTTGGACCGGACTTGGACCCGATTCGCCGCTTCGCAGGGGAGACGAGGAGAACGAGGAGGAGGATGTGAACAAGACAGGCAGGGCGAGGAGGAGCAGAAGGCAAGGCCAAAGGCGGTCCGAATACGGCCCGATGACAACAAAAACTCGGATGTCAATACCGCAACCCAGGGCTCCCGTAAACGGACACCCCAAGGGGTGCGAGGAGCAGCCAGGAAGGAGGGGATGCGGGGAGGGGGGAAGACGGACGCGAGGTACAGTGGGGGCCAGTCCACAAGAGAAACTCCACAAGAAACCCAACCCTGAGACCCCGGGGCGTCCATGGATTTTTGGTGTGAGAGCCTCGCGCTTTCCACGGCAAAACCGTCGAAGCCCAAGGAACCTGGGGCACCCTAGAGGCAAGCGGGGTGTTTCTTGGCACGGGCCTCCACCGTACAGGTGAGGGGCAGGTGGGCTCGGAAATGCGGGAGTCGCAACCTCGATCGCCTGCCCACCTCCCCCCGGGCGGGGGCGGGAAGCGAGGGAGACGGGGAATGCCGTCTCCCTCCTCTAGAGTTAGATCGGGCATGACCCCCTACAGGAAGATTTTGGACAAAAAATAACAATTGTCAAAAATGAGACCAGAGAAACAAACACAATCAAAGTCTTTTTAGGGCTATAGGGCTATGGGGCTATGGGGCTCTAGGGCGATAGGGGCTATAGGGCTATGGGGGTATAAGGCTGTAGGGCCATCGGGCTATAGGGCTACAGGGCTATAGGGCTGTAGGGCTATAGGGCTGTGGGGTTATAAGGCTATATGGGGCCATGGGGTTCTGGGACTCTGGGACTATAGGGCTATAGGGCCATAGGTTTATGAGTATATAGAACTATGGGGCTCTAGGGCTATAGAACCGTAGGGCTATAGGGCTGTAGGGATATAGGGCTATGGGGCTATGGGGCTATAGCGCTATATGGCTATAGGGCTCTAGGGCTATAAGGCTATAGGTTTATAGGGCTATAGAGGATATAGGGCTATAGGGATACAGGGCTATTGGGCTATAGGGGCTACAGGGCTGTAGGGCTATAGGGCTATGGCGCTGTGTGGCTATAGGGTTATTGGGCTATTGGGCAATTGGGCGATAGTGCTACAGGGCTGTAGGGCTATAGGGCTATAGGACTGTAGGGCTATAGAGCTCTAGGGCTCTAGGGCACTAGGGCTACAGGAGTACAGGACTATAAGGCTATAGGGCTATTAGGTTATAGGACTACAAGGCTATTGGGCTATAGGGCTAGTGGGCTACAGGGCTACAAGGCTATAAACAACCCTTGCATCCAAGCACCTGGGCACCCAGGCGGGCCGCGGAAATCGGTGGCAAACCTCACCAAACCAAATGAATCCGCTAGGACCCCTACAGAGGCAAGCTCTGACTGAGAAAATACACCTGCAATACCCAAACATAGTAGACACATCGTCCCCAGACGGTGTTTTATTATATTATGTTTGAGCATTCCCTCTGTAGAGGGACAGGCCGACTTAACTCTAGAGGCCTCCTGGATGGGGTCCGAGTGGATGGGGTCGAAGGATCGCGCCGCATCGCCAATGCATCGCCGATGTATCGGCGATGCATCGGTGATGCATCGGTGACGTCGGCGATGCATCGGCGACGTGGGCGTGGCGAAACACGGGCTCCACATCGAACCGCATCGTCGACCCATCGGCGATGCGGTGCGATCCTCCGACCCCATCTACTCGGACTCCATCTAGGAGACCAAGATCCTCCCCCCCAGGACAGCACCGCCTGCACTCTTGGGGGGCGCCTCATCGAACGACGGACGGGGACGACGCTGGGATCTATACACAGGTCCATTGCCCCGGCTCTGGCACATCCCGTGCACCGGAGCAGTGTATCCGCCCCCTGGATCATCATCATCATCATCATCATCATCATCACCATCATCATCATCATCATCATCATCATCATCATCATCATCATCATCATCAGCATCAGCATCAGCATCATCATACTCATCATCATTAGCATCATCACCACAACCACCGCCATCATCATCACCATCATCATCATTACCACCACTATCATCATCACCACCATCATCATCACCATCATCATCACCATCATCGTCATCATTATCATGTTTGGGGGGGCCTCTTTTTGGCGACGCGCCGCCACAGGTTTGGAACGTGAGGCTCAAGGTCAACTCGATGGCGACGGCCCCGGGGGCCTGGCAAGAGCCCCCACCTGCGAGACTCTGACCCACCCCCGCACCAGCGTCGGGCTCCACACCCGCCGTCCGTGCTGGCACCAGGGAGGCTGGCAGCTCCCAGCGCCACGGGTGACCCGCGAGGGTCACCCGTTAAAAGGCGGGGACCCCGCACGCACCAGGGCCCGTCTGTAAGCGGGAAAATCCCCCCCCAGGGTCAACCAGAGAGCCTTCCACGTTCCCCAGTAATGGCTTGCCGACCCTTCTACTTTAAATCTCACAGCGCTGTAAACTTACCCTGGCGACGTACCCAACCCCTGCGCAAACGCGGGGCGCACATAGGTTAGAACACTTTATAAGGGGGGCGATGACGGAGCGAAGGTTACACATGTCTGAAGACGGAGTTCGGGAGACTCGCAGGACACTGGCTACAGGACAAGGACTAGATAAAGCTGATTAGCTACAATCCCTGAGCACCCCTAGCCACTTCGAAAGCGGGGATCTCATATCGCAGCCCCCGAGAGATGGCGAGGTCTAATCACTGTGCTGGGCCCCCCAGCAGGCCTCGAAAGTAGCGACGGTTTCACAGATCGCAGCCCCCCAGGGATGGCGAGGACTAATTTCGGTCCGCGCGTGGCGTCACTGTGCTGGGCCCCCCAGCAGGCCTCGAACGTGGCGGCAGTTTCACAGATCGCAGCCCCCAGGGATGGCGAGGTTTAATTTGAATCCGCTCGTGGCGTGCCTGTGCTGGCCCCCCCAGCAGGCCTCGAAAGTGGCGACAGTTTCACAGATCGCAGCCCCCCACAGGCGTCAAAAGTGGCGACAGTTTCACAGGTCGCAGCCCCCCAAGGATGGCGAGGTCTAATTTGAATCCGCCCGTGGCGTCACTGTGCTGGGCCCCCCAGCAGGCCTCGAAAGTGGCGACGGTTTCACAGATCGCAGCCCCCCAAGGATGCCGAGGTCTAATTCGAATCCGCCCGTGGCGTCACTGCGCTGGGCCCCCCAGCAAGCCTCGAAAGTGGCGACGGTTTCACAGATCGCAGCACCCCAAGGATGCCGAGGTCTAATTTGAATCCGCCCGTGGCGTCACTGTGCTGGGCCCCCCAGCAGGCCTCGAAAGTGGCGACAGTTTCACAGATCGCAGCCCCCCAGCAGGCCTCGAACGTGGCGACAGTTTCACAGATCGCAGCCCCCCAGGGATGGCGAGGTCTAATTCGAATCCGCCCGTGGCGTCACTGTGCTGGGCCACCCAGCAGGCCTCGAAAGTGGCGACAGTTTCACAGATCGCAGCCCCCCAGGGATGCCGATGTCTAATTTGAATCCGCCCGTGGCGTCACTGTGCTGGGCCCCCCAGGATGGCGGGGTCTAATTTGAATCCGCTCGTGGCGTCACTGTGCTGGGCCCCCCAGCAGGCCTCGAAAGTGGCGACAGTTTCACAGATCGCAGCCCCCCAGGGATGGCGAGGTCTAATTCGAATCCGCCCGTGGCGTCACTGCGCTGGGCCCCCCAGCAAGCCTCGAAAGTGGCGACGGCTTCACAGATCGCAGCACCCCAAGGATGCCGAGGTCTAATTCGAATCCGCCCGTGGCGTCACTGCGCTGGGCCCCCCAGCAAGCCTCGAAAGTGGCGACGGTTTCACAGATCGCAGCACCCCAAGGATGCCGAGGTCTAATTTGAATCCGCCCGTGGCGTCACTGTGCTGGGCCCCCCAGCAGGCCTCGAAAGTGGCGACGGTTTCACAGATTGCAGCCCCCCAGGGATGCCGAGGTCTAATTCGAATCCGCCCGTGGCGTCACTGTGCTGGGCCCCCCAGCAGGCCTCGAAAGTGGCGACAGTTTCACAAATCGCAGCCCCCCGCAAGCAAGACAGGAGGAGGCAAGAGGGAGTCGGGACGGGAGGCAGGAGGGAGGAAAGGAGGAAGTGGAGACCACACTGCTCTATTCAAAACGAATACCCAACCAAAGAGGGTTGGGAATATCTTGCCAACACAGGGCATTGCACCATAACTCTCTTGGAGCTTGACAGAAGCGAGAAGGCAACGATATCAACCACCGCTTGCGAAAGACATTCCCGCTTTGTGCCACTCCACAAAAATAGGTTCCACATTGTTCCACATTCTTAGGTTGAGTGAAATGAGCGGTCGCCCCACCTGTGCCGAGGCTAAACAGATGGAACTTCTGCAGCTCAAACAGGCACAACGGCAAGGCTGTATTAATCCTTGTTTAGGGCGCACTCATATCACATGTCATGTCCTCTGGATCACGAGCCACACATCGAGCTCTCAGGACCTTACGGCTGTTTTGGACAACGAATTCCGAGGAACTCGCTCTGAGACTCATATTCGATGCTTCGATATGAATGATGGCTTTATCATCTGTTACAAACACCTGTTGTCGACGCAGCGCCAACAGCTCGCCAATCTGTATGAAAGTGTCGAACCCGATCACCAAAAACAGTGGCCAGGATCCACCAGCCCAAGACCCGGGCTGCAGCTGTCATGGCCAGGTCGATATTCTGTGGTGCAGGAGTCGCCCGGCAAGGCGTGCATCGCTCTCCCAGCTCCTGATCAGGATCCAACTGTGCTGCAGGTGTGCCCTCAGAGGTGGTATGAACAACTGCAGTGCGGTACAGGTATCGACCACTGAGTACAGCGGCTCCAGCCTTGTCAGCAAGCCTAGGTAATCATTGGATTAGGGTCAATCTCATGCAAGGATGCTAGACGAACGCCGCGCGCTCTCCACCAAGCAAACAAACGCCCAGACCAACGCGCGCACCGTTGGCCAATGGGCCCGGTGATCTGCAGCTCTTGCAAAAGTGACACCATTCCTCAGATAGAACCAAATGAGAAGGACAGTCACTCGGGTTTAGCTTGTCGCTGATGTGTCCGATTCCTGCGTGCAAGTCCGAGCTCACAGCGATGGCAGCGCACTGCTCGGCCAGGCCGCGAAACCCCCCTGAATCTATATACGCCGTTTCGTTTGTTTTTTTGCTTAAAAGGAAAAATCGAGGTCGCGACGTGCCGCCCAGATGAAGGACCTCGACGCTCCTGAAGGTCGTGGCCCGAGCACGGTGTTGCCGCGGGGCGTTGACCGCCGTCAGCTTCAGCGCGTTGATATGCGACTCCTGAGCTGTCTTGGGCCAGGGGAAGAACAGGATTGGACGCGATCTCCAAAGCACTGGATCGATCGAAACGAGAGGCCAATCTTGCTGCGCGAAAGGGCACGCCGACGTCGAAACGGGCGTCGCCCCCAGGCTCCTCGACGATAGCGCAGGAAACCTGCGCGAACTTTTAGCCCAGCGCGGCCTCGCGGATGGGGTCCTTTTAGAACTCCACCTCCTCGCCCAGCCGGTCCTCCACCTTCAAGCTCAGCGCGGTCCGTCGTAGATCGGTTTCGCGCGCCGACCCGCCAAGCTCGCGCCTGAGCGCTGAGAACAGCCAGCTCACCGCGCCGCGGGCGACAGCGTTCCCCATGAAGCTGCAGCGCCCGGTCTCAGAGGCGGTGCGGCTACAGCCCGAGCTGGCTACCAAAAGGATGAAATACTTGGGGAAGCCCCTCAGAACCTCTCTCTCTCTCTGTGGCACACAAAGGTCTGAGCTCCCCGCTGGGCTTCCTAATCATGCCCACGAGCTCATACTGATCGGGGGATATGCATGTCGATATTGGGACCACCTCCGAATAGCCTCTGAGCTAGCTGGGCCCAGGCCCGCATGCTCGTAAGGGGCCCTCTTCTCCCGTCGTTGAAGTAGAGTACACAGTGGCATTTCTGGCGAAGCTCTCGAGCAGCCCGTGGACGCCCAAGATTTCGCCGAGGCCTTGGAGGCCTGAATGGACTCGATGAGGCCGTAGCTCTGCGCGAGCTCTGCCTGCGACCGCGGGGCCTTGAGGATTGCCTTCCGCCGCGAGCGCCAGTAGAGGCGCGGCCGACGGTTCTCGGTAGACAGGGGGTTGCATATACTAATCAGCGCTCACGGAGAGAACATTTTCCCATATCCAGTGCACAAGTACTTGCATCGCCTGAGTCAACGCGCGCACTATCTCGGGGATGCGCGTGACCAGGCCGCTCCGACCGCTGTGGGCCCCTCGCCGATCTGCGTTGATTACGCTGAAATGATGGCAGGGGCAGCCTCCAGCGACAATCGAAGCCTCGATGCGACCCGGGAACAAGGTTAAGGCCTCGAGCTGCCCCACCTGGATCTCTCCCACGGGCCCCGGCTCGATCAGTCCAGGCCAGCGCGATCGTAGCGCGCGTCTAACTCCTGTGTCACCCCCGCTGCTCATGTCGATGGTGGCACTTGTTCGCGCCAGAGAGACCATCGGGCCGCCTACCCCGTCAAACAGGTTGACCAGGAGCACGCGCGGTGCCTCCTCGCTGACATCCGAGAATGAGACGTCGCCGGCGGTCCTCGACCTCAGGTTTGCAGACGCCAAAGGCAGCGGCAAGCGAGCGCGCGTCTGTCCACCAACGCAGTTTTTCGGCAGCTCGGTGCATCCTGAAGCCGCCAACTCCCAGACAACATTTAAGATTCCAAGGGGGGGGGGGGGGGGGCGCCTGCACTCCAGCGCTCGTGTCCAACGGCCCAAGAGGATCCGGGGTTGGTTTCCTCAGGGTTGGTCGCGTGTCAGGAGCCGCAGGGTGAGGCCACGCAGCGGCATGTTCCTCACTCGGTTGTTCGCCGCCCAGTCTGCAGCTCCATCGACCTCCATGCGCATGCGAGTGACGAGGACCAGCCACTGGTTAGCCTCGTTGGCGCAGATGGGGATGTCGTTCCTCGCGTAGCTCTTCCTCATCTGCTCCTGGAGGCGGCCAAGGGTGCTGACCAAAGGTAGCGCGGCCCCACAATTGAGAACCTCCCCGGCCTCGAAGCCGTCAACATAGGTACTCCACCAGGCGCAAACACCATCGCTCGCGAAGGGGCCCGCCACCGCCGCAGGAACAGGGCGGCCCCTTCTCCGCTCGCGGGAGGGCGCCAGCTCAGCGCCCGCCGGCTCATCCAGCTGAGCGACGCACCGATGGGTGCTCGGCAAAACAGGCACCCTGTATACCCAGCCCCTGATCAGCACCGCCATCACGAGCCAGACCTTCCATGCGTTAATCCTGATGATGAGACCATGGTCCGGCGTGCACGCCGCCATGTATATCCCAACCAAGGCCCAGGAAACCTGCGCATGAGAAAGGCATCCTTCTGGTCGTCCCCGCTTCCGAGCAGCAGTTCGCTGGGCTGCGGCGACGTGCCGACCCGCGCAGGCGAGGGGGCTCGCGCGGCCGGATCGCCGAGGCGCAGGCAAGCGTGAGTGGGCACCATGTTCGAGATCAACCTCGCCCCCTCGCAGCCCCTGGGCCAGGACCGCCATTCCTCGCGACTGCGAGGAGCACGCGGGTCAACCGCCTGCCCTGAGCCTGGAAAAACCGCTCAGCATCACTGCTTTCCAACAGTCCCAGCTCCATCAGCTTCGCGGCGATGCACCACCAGTCCTCGAGGCGCTTGACATTGACCTTCACCCTCGGAGTAGTCGCCCACTCTGCCTCGGGCAGCAAGGGGGGCCCTGGCTTAGTCAACAGCTCACTCAGACGGGCTCCGACATACATGCGGACATCCAGGCGGCCAGCATCCTCCGCCTGGGATAAATCCGGCCCCGGCCCCTTGAAGTTGAACTGCAGAGCACGGCAGTCCCCGCCCAGGTTGCAGCTGGCCCTGCTCTTCATCATCTCCTGCGGCCAATAAGGCATCTCGACCTCATCAAGCGAGCCCCCGGCGCGCCTCTCGACCGTCTCACCGATCACACGTAGGCTAGCGGGCTGGACCTAATCCGAAAGCCCTGATAACGGCGACGAGGCGACGATCGAAAGCAGTGCCCCGGCACTGCTTTGAACGCGTTCAAAGCAGTGCCCCGGCACTGCTTTGAACGTATGATATGATGATATGATGATGATTATGATTGATGATGATGATGATTTTTCCAGCGTACACTGTCCGCAACTGCGGCAATCAACATCATGCTCCACTTGCCCGCAACTGCGGCCATCACCAACGCTGCGCCTCGAAGCTCCACGGAGGGCGCTCGGCAGGTCGCCCGCTCGAGCCCCACTCGACTTCACGCTGAGGAGGCGAGCCCTCAGGGGCATTGTCCGCAACTGCGGCATGATCAGAGGGCCACCACTGCGCGCCATCAGCGCCCCATTCGCTCGAGCTCCAGTCCCACCAGGACCAGCCCTGCCATCTCGTGGCGGGACTGCGCGCCTCCCATGCGCCGCTGCCGCTGGCGTCCCAGGACCCAGCCGCCACTGCGGCACAAGAAGGGGTCGCATCGTCGCCGTTGGCAGCTTGCGGCGGTGGCGTGTTCCCAGCTCGCTCAGCCCCAGCGTCTCTCCCCGCAACTGCGGTTCCCATCTGGGGTCGGACGCCCTTCCCCGCAACTGCGGTGTCCGCGTAGCTGCCCTTCTTGCCGCCCTTCTTGCCGCCCTTCCTGCCGCCCTTCCTGCGTTCCAACCTCGCGGCGAGTCTTTCAGGTGACCTGCGGCACGTATTGTGCGTGAAAGCCACCAGAGGGAAGTGCGCTCCGTGCCTCGCCCTGCCGAAGGCGCCATGCCATATCTTGTCGTCGAGGTTGCCCTGCTTCACTCTGAAGGGATAGCGCACCCAATCGTCGCGTTCCCTGCGCGCCATCCTTTGCTCGAACTCCGCATCTGCGGTCAAGGATTCGCCAGATGGCGTCAGGAAGGCGCGCATCTTGTTTTCAACGGGCTCAGCCTTGGGCACGTAAGTCTGAAGCATCTTCCCAGGGCCATTCGTGTAGTCGAAGACAGGGAAAGACGGATCATGCTGGGTCGTCAAGAATCCGCCCTCACGGTCGTGCAGAACACTCAGGCCATGGTGAAGCTTGTACTGCCCAGGACAGTTTATGAACAAAATCGCCATGCTGTCTGCCCTGGGCTGGCCGCCTGCTGTCTTCCAGGGGGTCCACGCGGCGACGTCCACAGTCAGGCCGCAATTGCGGCACCAGGACACAAGCTGGAACATGCACATGTTGAAGTCCCCCATGCAGACCTTCACGTCCCATTCCCTGACGTAGGCGACGAACCAGTTGTAGAACTCATGGAGCTTCGTGACGCCCCAGTCTTGGTTGGCCAAGCTGTGGTGGACGTGCACCGCCATGACGTTGAAGGAGCCCCCCAAATGGGGCACGGCCTGGTCCAGGTGGACGCGCACCACCATCGCCCTGGAGTACTTGTTGTGCAGCTTTGGCGCAGGAGCCTCCGCAACTGCGGACTGTTTCTTCTTCTTCTTCGTTTTGGACTTCTCCTGCTTGTGGAAGAGTCTCGCAAAGTCTACGTGTTCAATGTGGCCGCCACTGCGGTCCCTCATGCCAACAAGGAGGGTCCCTGATGGCTCGCCGCCCTTAACGCACAGGTAGTTGTATTGAGTCCGACTCCGAAACCTATCGTCCGCAACTGCGGCTGCACTGTCCCTCGCGTCGTGCTCCCCACTGAGTACCGCGCAGGTCTCGTCGTCGCACTCGCAGAGGGCGATGATCTGGGCAGGGTTCGCGCGGAGCTGCGCCCACTCGTCCGCGCGTTGCGTGGGTCTAGCTGCAGTCCCTCCGAAGTTGGCCACGTAGAAGCCGACCCGTCCCGCTTCGAACTCCGTTTTCTCCTCCCATGCGTCGACAAGAGCTCTTTGTTTTTCCGACAGATTGCTTGTCTCGATGATGGGCACCCGTTTCCAGGTTCTCCGCGACGACAACACTCTCGGCATGTAGGAGTCATGTGCTGCCGCAACTGCGGCTCCCGCACCTCCCCGGGACTCAGCCTCGTCAGCGGAGGCAGCCGAGGACGCGACGGTGCTGTCGCCATCTTGCGTCCGCTGGTCGTCGTCATCATCCGCAACTGCGGCTTCCTCGTCTTTGCCTCCCTCCTCCTCCTCAGCGTTGTGGATGAACACCGTTCTGGCGAATCGAAGTCCACGGTCCATACTCCCTGAGGATGCGCTCGGGCGCGCGGGCGGCCACATGCTTGCGTCTTCGCGTGCGCCACCTCGAGCCACGGTGGCTACGGAAATGGATCGTGAATGGGCATGGGGTCGGATGGAGGGAGGAGACAAAGAGGATTCGAGGAGTGGCAGAAGGAGGGCGAGGACTCAAAGGAACCGAAAGAACAACAAATGGACTGGCGGAGAAGCAGAAGGAGGGCGACGATTGCAAGGGACTGTGAAAGGATTATTTTCACAGCAGCAGGAAGACCGCAACTGCGGTTTTGCCTCATCTCCTGCCCGCGCGGGAGCCGCTTGGAAAAACAACTTCCCTCTGGACTTCCTGTGGGTCCGCAACTGCGGCCTGCATCACGCTAGGGCTGGGATTACCAGCGCCATTTGCCCTCCCAGGGTTCTCACTGTTTCCGAATGCACGAACTGCGACAGCGCCGAACGGTTCCCAGACGCCGCGTCGTTCGCGACTTTTTGCAGCCACCCAGCAAACGTGAGCGGCCATTGCTCCTTGTGCTGCTTGCACATCTCCTCGTCCCAATGCGTCTTGAACCATGCCCACTCCCCCCTCTGCTCGTCTGAGAGGACGCCTTTTCCGCGAGCCAGGCGATCCAGAGCTGCCATCCTGTTTTTCTTGATCTTGAACTCCTCGGGATTCCACTGCGCTAGGGCGTGTTTGTTAGCCAAAGCCGTTTCCACCGCAACTGCGGCCTCCTTCTTTGCCCTCAAGGCGGCCTCGGCCTCTCGAATCTGCTTCTTGAGATCGTGCAACGCCTTCGTCCTGTCGTTCGCTTCCAGAGCCAGGCGCCGCTTTTTCGCCACCACTGCGGCTTCGTGGTCTCGCTGGGCAGTCAACGCTCGTAGGACCTCGTTGTCCTCCCGCGCCAGCTCTCTCAACCGCTTCTTTTGTTTGTGTTGTTGCTGTCGGCAATCCTGCGCTAGTTTCTCCATGCCCACTTGGCGCAGCATATCTTCCGCCTCGCGGAGCGTTTCTGCCAAGGACGTCGCCACTGCCACCTGCTCGGCCGCCTCTGCGTCGACCACGCAGTCCATGGATACCGAGGATCCTTGAGGCCCAGGTGCCGCAACTGCGGCATCGCACTGTTCCGCAAGAGCCTCGGCCCACGAGGCCTCCTCTTGCTCTTCGTCCTCCTCGTGCTCCTCGTGCACCTCCTCCTCCTCCTCCTCCCCGCCCTCCTCATCGCCCTCCTCGTGGCCTGGCTCCTGGCCTAGCGCTTCGTCGCCGAGCTTCTCCAACACGGAATCTGTGGCGTCGTGTTTCTCGTATTCGTGTATGAGACGCAGCACGTCATTGTAGGACCATTTCAAACGTTTCTGCTCGCATTCTTCCCTCACCTCCGCGACTGCGGTGTCCACTTTTGCTCGCAGCCCCCCTGCTTCCCAGAGTTCCGCCGCCTCTCGGCAAATCTCGAGATCTCCTGACTTGTCGAAGGGCGCTCGAATTCCCACTTTCAGGAAACCTTTCGCGGCGTCCAAGTGCAACTGCACATTCTCCAACACTGACAGCATCAAGTCGGCGCAATCGGAACGCCGCAACTGCGGCACGTGCTTCCCCAACGCCATTTGCTGCACCAGCGCTTTGGTCTCGAGGGCAATGTACCGGCGCTTCACGTGCTGGTTCAAGTCCGTGTCCACGGGCTGCGCAACTGCGGTCGCCCCCCCGCCGTGAATGATCAGCACGTAGCCGCGCTGCCAGGCGAGTCTCCGCACAGCGTCTGCTTTGTGCGGGGAATGGTCGTCGGCCATGAGGATGCGCCACTTTCCCCGCAACTGCGGGTCGTCGGGCCAGGCCCGCAAGTGCCGCTGCAAGAATGATACAACGTCGTCTGCGCGGTAGGACCCCTTCTCGGACGTCGCCGTGCTCACCCAAGACGGATAGCCGCGACTGCGGGCATGTGCGGCCAAGCCCTCAGCGATGACAGATCCCCCCTTGAACATTAGCTCCGCCGGCGGTGGTCCGCAACTGCGGATGTCCTCCGCGTCGCTCGACACCGTCAGGTTCGCTGTCCACCGAGCCCTGCTGTCGTCATGCGCCTCGACAAGCGGGACAATGCCACCCTTCACAGCCAAGGTCGGCTTCGAGGCCGACGACGAC